AGTTTAGATCAGCACTGCCCCCACCACCAGCACCTCCCTGGACCACTGCCTGGCATCACAGCCTGTGAGTGCTTCTCTTTCCCCACCCCTGCGTGGGAAAACCACAGCCACTGGCAGCAAAGAGAAGCAAGATGACAAGACTAGATGCCAGGCAGTTTGCAGAAGGCCAGCAAGAAGGTGAGGCGGTTTGGGGGGGTTGGGTTAGTTGCGTTGCGATTCTCAGAAAAGTGAGAGGCCTGAAAGAAATATATGGAATTATCTGCAAAGGACCTCTGGGGAGATGGCTTGGAGCCATGTGCTGCATCGGGAAGGTGGTGTGCAGGCAGGTGAGAGAGTAAACTTGCAGATTGGCTTTGTGGTCTATTCTTGCTGCCTCCCCTCCCTAAAATCCAGCCAATAATAGAACTCTTTGGATTGAATGGGAAATTAAGAGGTATTGGCGTGAGTTGAAATTAAAAGGCCAAGTCAACTGCCCCCCACATTATTTTGTTGGAGACGTGGAAAGTGTTTCTCGCTTCTACTTCCCCTCATCTGCTCTTTTATAATTTAATCCAGACTTATCCAAACTAATGTCTTTTGGGTGTCATGGACCACAGTTCCCATAATCCTATGGCTATACTGGCTAGAAATGCAATGCCTTATTTTCTCTGCAGTATGTGCCTAGGAGGCAGTAGGTCTGTGGAATTTAGATGTATTTAAACATTTGTTTCTTCTGCCTAATTTATTAGATCAACGTCTAATTCTAAATTAAATATTTTGGAGAAATCCAGGGTAGTTTACAAGAAAACTGTCAAAGACAGCTATAGCAAAGTATCACCAGCACTGCTTAAAAACAATATTAAAACTGTATTTTAAGAAAGAAAAATATTAGTAGTAATTTACTTAGTGCTGTTTGACCATTAAATGTGGTGTTGTTCTACATATGCCTGGTTGAACAGTGTGTTTGGAGTTGCCTCTAAACGGGTGAGGGATGCACTATTCATATTTTCCTTGGGAGAAAGCTCTATAATTGGGGTGCTGTCTCTGAGAAGGCTCTGCTCGTGGCCACTGTTCTATAAACCAAACAAGGGGCACCATCTGGTCTTAATGGATATTAAACAAAGATGATTAGGGGACTGGAGGCTAAAACATATGACAAACATTTGTGGGAATTGGGTATGTCTAACTTAGTGAAAAGGACTAGGGGTGGTGACATTATAGCGGTATTCCAATATTTGATGGGCTGCCACAGACAAGAAGGGGTCAACCTATTTTCCAAAGCATCAGAAGGCAATAATAGATGGAAACTAATCAAGAAGAAAACCAGCCTAGAACTAAGGATTGTGAAAGCAACTAACCAGTGAAAAGGCTTGCCTTCAGAAGTTGTGGATGCTCCATCACTGGAGGCTTTTAAGAAGAGATTGGATATTCCATTGTCTGGAATGGTATAGGTCCTCTGCTTGAGCAGGAGCTTGGACTAAAGACCTCAAAGGTCTCTTCCAACTCTCTTATTCTTTGGGAGAAGCGCTGCCAACCTCTCCCCCTCCCCTTGTCCCTTCCTGAGCACAGAGAGAGGGAGGGAGGGAGGGAAGGAGGGGAGGGAAACAGGAAGAAAGAAAGGGAAGGAAAGAAGAAGATGGGAATGAAAAGGAGGGAAGGAGGGAAGGAGGGGAGGGAAGGAGGAAGGAAGGAAGGAACGGAGGAACGGAGGAAGGGAAATTGGAATAAGAGGAGGGAGGGTCTGAGGGAAGTCCTGCCTTAGCACTTGGCCAACAGCAGCCCTGTTGCCCTTTCCCCATCACCTGGTGGTCTCCCATCCTATTGCTGAGGATGATTTGGTTACAAAACCAGGTCTCCTCGCATGGAGAGGGAGTGGGCCTCCCTCTGACCCATGCACTTTGCCCTCCTGCACCCACCATGAATAACCTGGCCAAGGAAAGCGTGTACAGGAGCAGCAGCCTCAAGGAGGAGGTAAGCACAACTGGGCTAGGCAAGGCTGTGAGGTCCTGGTGATGTGGGCAGGGGACCTATACCACAATCCATGGCCCCCCACGCATGGCCTGAAAGGGACAGTGAGGCTCCTCCAGTGGACCATGCCCTGGCATTCACCCCGGTCCCACCCCCCTCTGCAGGAGACCCTTGGATCCGCCCCACTCCTGCCCAGGCCCACACAAGTGCCCCTGACGCAAGTCACCTTGAGCTGGCCATGCCCACCTAGTAGAGTAATATGCTTCCAATTCTTTTAGGAGGTACATTTGCAAAATATTTTGAATTTTTTTTTAGTGGTTCTCAAGGAAGGATTTGATTTAGATCCACATTTTGAAAACTAAAGATTCTGAATGAATCATCATTTCAAAAGCAAGATTTTGCTGGGTTTTCAGTTATGGATCAATTTACATAGTATTGTGAGTCATCTTCTGTGTTATTGGAATCTGCTCAGGAGTCCACCAGAGGTCATTTACTGGAGAGACAAAGACTAATGCCCAAATCAAGCCAGAAATCAGATTGAAATGTGTCCAGTTAATCAATAGCATTCAATAGTGTTTGAGCCGCATACCCATCATTTATTTGGGAATGTTGCTGTACTAGGCTGGTAGTTTGCATAGCATAAATGGGGGGAAGCAGTTAATTATATACTTTGGTTTGTTGTCTGACAGTGCTCAGTCTAGCATCGTTTTTGGAACCAGCCTGCACTGTTCCAATCTGCTTAAAGAAAACCTTTTGCCTGTTAACCACAAGGTGGCAATAATACAAAGACATCTTTCAGTGTGAATAATAGGTTTGTAAGCAGCCACAATTCGAGGCAACATGATTCATCCCACTAAGGTGCAATAACAATGTGATTCACCTTTTCACATAGACATTGCAGCCACTCACCGGAACAGCTAAAGGGAGCATTCAAAAGGTTCAGATGCATCATCTTAATGTTAGAACATGTGCCAGGAGAAGTTATGAAAGCTTTGCTCTTTAGAAACAGGAAGTGCTCTGCTTGAAGCATTGTAGAAACAAAAAGCTCTTGATTGGTCCAGAATCATCAGTGACACCTTCTAAACCAGGGTCCCCAAACTTTTTGACACTAGGGACCGGTTTCATGGAAGACAATTTCTCCACGGACTGGGGGTGGGGGGAGGAATAGGCAACCTACATCCTGCACATGTGCAATTTCATTTGCCCACCTCACACCTCCAGCTGTGTGGCCTGATTCTTAACAGGCCATAGACTGGTACCAGTCTGCAACTTTGGGGTTGGGGACCCCTGCTCTAAACCCACTCCATGCATAATTTTTAATAAATGTGGCCTTACTAAAGTTCTCCCTCTAGCAATGTCCAAGAGCCCTCCTTCTTCCAGGATATTTCCTTCTATGAGTACCATTCCCACTTGCTTCTGGGAATTGTTCTAGAAAAGAAAGTCTTGGATATTTTCTTGAAGCAGGTTTAGCCCAATTTGGCTACAATTATAAGAGACATTCTTCTTTCATCCTGTCTTTTCACCCTTCTTCAGTCTTTCAAGATTGTTTTCCTAGTACTTGGAGTGTAAATCATGCCAGTCAATACTCTGCTAGCTTTTTTTCCCCAAAAAATCACTTGGATCTATCAGCCCACTGTAATTAGATCACCATCATTACAGCTGACACAAGATTAAATCTTATAAATAAATTATAAGACTGCAATAATGGAATAAAAATTAACACACACATACTCATTGTTGCATCACCATTTTAATGCCAAGATTAAATTATCAGTCCTAGCATTGATTCAGAAAACATTTGGATACAATGACTTGCTAGGAAAGCAGAACCCAAATATCAACAAAATAATAAACATCTGAATTGTCCCCAGCATTATAAATGTTGATGTGCTCCCAAATATTTAGCCTAAAAAAATCTTATAACTAATCCACCAATTAAATAAGGAGGTAGTTGATCTAAGTACCAAAATCTTTGATATAAGTATGATAGTGGACCATCATAACTCAGATGTAGGTCTTACTTAGGCATAGACTCAAGCTGAACCAAAATGTTTGTTAAATCCTATTCAAGGGGCAGAAGGAAGATAAATATATAGGCACTATATGGAGAGAGTTGATCTGACATTTGCACTGCAATATGAACTTTTGCTGAGTTAAGCCTTCTACATGATAACAGATCTTAGTGTAGTTTCTGTTCACAGCTATGAGCCATTTTCTCTCAAAATCAAGAAATGCTGGATTTTATAAATGGTGCAGGAATACTTGCGATTTTTTTAGAGACCAAAGTTGATGAACAGTGAGGGAGAAGGGGGGAGTTCTCCTCAGTGTGGTATGAATGAATTATCTATTTTAATCCCAAAACAGAAATGGGCAAGCAAGACCTTTCTTCCATTATTTCTATTTATATGCCTCTATAATTCCTTCTATAGAGCATAAGGCCCAAACACATCAGCTAAAAACAGAAAGAGCCTCAACAGAAGCATAATTAGCCTCTATGGTGGCATTAGTATGCCTGAAAATAGAACTTTAATTTTATTTGTACACAAGGAACCATTGGAAATAGCTGTTCATGAAGTGCTATCTCATAAGCCCGCCACACATTCTTTCAAAGTAATTAATTAAGAAACACTGAAGCCTGATATTGTGCCTACTTTCCATCGCTTTTGGCAAAAACATGGCATTAAAAAGTAACACACAGGAAAATCCACAATCTGGTTAAGTGAAGCCCTCCTTGGGTCCTCTAAAAGCTCAAGGGAAATTGATGATTTTTCAAAATTTGCTCTATTTTGACATAAGGCTCCAGAGGTCTCTGAATCAGAGATGCTTAAAGACTGGGCACAAAATGATGACATTGATTCAATTAAACACAACATTTAGGGTGAGTTGGTGGATATGGCTTTTCTTTTTTTTTAAAAAAAAAAATTATTTCCATTACCAGGTTGTGCTATTGACTTACTCGAACAATCTTAAGGTTTTTTTTTTGTTTTTTTTTCTTTCTTTCTTTCTTTCTTTCTTTCTTTCTTCCTTCCTTCCTTCCTTCCTTCCTTCCTTCCTTCCTTCCTCTCTTACCTTTATTATTTTTATAAATAATTCAAGGTGGCAAGCATTCCTCCTCCTATTTTTCCTGTAACAACAATCCTGTGAGGTGGTTGGGAGATTGGGCTGGGTTGAGGGAGATTGGCAAGCCCAAAGTCACTCAGCCAGTTTTTCCCGACTAAGAACTCAAGACTCTCAGTTTCTAGCCTCGTGTCTTAACCACTACAGCAAACTAGAATTTATCACTTTTTGTTTTCCATTCCTCACATCTTTTTAGCAGGATGATTAAAAAAAAAGATTAGGGTAACCAGAAGCTAAGCGTTATCAATGATAGGTCTTTTAA